CCCTTGACATGTGCCCCCCCAGGCCCCTGGGGGGTTGCTGTGCAGTGGAGTCCACTCCATGACAGCTGACCACTGGCTTACTGCCTGGAACGGGGCTGGGCCCACTGGCAACCCCACACAGTATGGGTTCACGCACTAGGCTCGTCCCGCCCTGTGGAACAGCAGTGCCGCACATCTATTGTCCCAGTGTCCTAGCCTGGGGGGAGCCCAAAGGTCTGCCTGGGACCCTGTGGCCTTGGACCACCTCCTGGACCCCTTGCTCCCTGAGGCAGTATTTATGGGCTGTGCTAATGGTGGTTGTCGTTAATGCTGTAAAGTCGGCTCTGACCCATAGCGACCCTGTGCCCAACAGAACCAAACACTGTCCACTCCTGGGCCATCCGCACCGTTGCTCCTGTGCCTGCACCCATCCATGCAGCCACGGGGTCCATCCATTTGGTGGAAGGCCTTCCTCTTTCTCGGAACACACGCCTGAAGAAATACGGGCAGTCCCCGGGGTACGAATGAGTCTCGTGTCTACAGCCACCTTTCCGTTCATTAGCACATAGGTCAGACAGGTCCCATTAGTGCCTAATGTCTGTGTGCAAGAATATCATAGGCGTGCACCTTCCTAGGCGCGTACATCGTCCCTGATACACAGAAACATTGCTCACGTCTTAATGCAACGGTACAACTGCTGCGGAGGACACGTTGTCAGGAGAGACCAGTCCCTGGAGAAGGACATCGGACTTGGTCACGCAGAGGGGTAGCGAAGAAAGGGAGGGCCCTTGATGAGCTGGGCGGGCCCAGGGGCTGCACGGAGGCACTCAAACACAAGAACGCTTGTGAGGATGGTGCAGGGCAGGGTGGTGTTTCCTTCTGTAATACATCGGGTGGCTATGGGTCGGACCCGGCTCTACGGCACCAAGTAACCATGACAACAGCTACTCCTACTGCAATGCTTATTATTGAGCAATAATGCAGGCACCTGGGGTTGTCGGTACCCTAGGATCTGGGGGGTTGGCTCATCACTAGGGGTGCACTGGGGGCTGCCTGTGTGAACGTAGGGAAAACAGAGATGGAGGGGGGCTGTAGTGTCTGAAAAGGGGCCCCCAGTAGCACACATGGCTCCAGCAACAAGATGCTGGCCCTGCAGCAGCCCCTCAGGACCCTTGAAAACTGCTTCTGCCGAGCGGTGACCGGCTGCTGCCTGAGCAGCTCCTGGACAGCATGCTGAGGTTGGCCCAGCGGGGCCAGGTGGGAGGGTAGAGAGCAGCTCCCCCATCCGTGTAGGGTGCCCAGGCTGGCTCAGGGCGGCCCCAGTGGCACTCTGCAGCCCCTGCTCTCCTGCAGCACCCTCTTCCAAAGAGAGGGCCAAGGCCCCCATGGAAGAAAGAGGCCATGCTTGCTGGAGGTGGGGAGGGGTACCTAGAGAGCCTGTGGGAAATAGGGGACCCTTCAATGGGCATGCAGGGGCTAAGGTGCACGTCTAGGCCCTAATTAGTCTCATGGAGCCCATGGTTATAAAGCCCTGGTGGGGTAGTGGTTCTGTGTTGGGCTGCTAACCACAAGGTGAACAGTTCAAAACCACCAGATGCTCCTCTGGAGAGAGAGGAGGCTTTCTATTCCTGTAAAGAGTGGCAGTCTCAGAAACTTGCAGGGGCAGTTCTGCCCCGTCCAATGGGGGTGGGTGAGAGGGGGAACTGACTCCGTGACAGTGAACTTGGGTTGGGGGTTTGAGTCCCATTGTTGCTCGTTGCTGTTGAGTGGGTTCCCACTCGGCATGTGCCCACTGACTTGTGCAGAGTAGAACTGCCCGCGCCCACCCCACCCGTCCCCCGCCCCACAGGGCTTTCAAGGCCAGACCCGTTTGGAAGCAGACTACTGGATGGGTTCAAACGGCCAGCCTTCTGGCTAGTTGCCCAGCACTCAGCTGTCTGTGTTCCTGGCAATGGTGCTCCTACCCGCCCTGCCAGCAACTCCTGGGGACCCACGAGAAATGCCGATTCTCAGGTCCCAACACCTCCCGGATCAGAAGCACCAGGTGAGCCTGTGTCTGGGGCAGAGCAGCTTCCAGGTGATGGTGCTGTGTCTGAGCGTGAGGGAGGTGAGGGGCTGGGGCTGGAGGTACCAGCAGAGGTGCCGGCGGCAGGGGAGGAAGGGGGGCTGGGGGCCCTCAGCTGGACAGGGTCTGCTCCCACTCAGCTGTGGGCCCTGGGTGTGGCAGGAGCTCACCATCCCCCAAAGCTGCTCAGATCTGGAGACCAGAATCCAAGATGCCGAGGTGAACTGAGGTGGGACGGGCCGGAGCGTGGGGGCTCTCAGAGACGAGGGGCCTGTCCTAGGTCCAGAGATCTATAGACATCTCTGATAGTTAAGGTTTACTGTGCCAACCTGGCCAATGAACACATGTGGGATTCATTGAA